AAAAAAAAAAAAAAAAAAAAGCAGGTGTTGCAATCCTAGTCTCGGATAAAACAGACTTTAAACCAACAAAGGTCAAAAAAGACAAAGAAGGGCATTACATAATGGTAAATAGATCAATGCAACAAGAAAAGCTAACTATCCTAAATATATATGCACCCAATACAGGAGCACCCAGAGTCATAAAGCAAGTTTTTAGAGACCTACAAAGAGACTTAGACTCTCACACAATAAGAGTGGGAGACTTTAACACCCCAATGTCAATATTAGATCAATAAGACAGGAAATTCACAAGAATATTCAGGACTTGAACTCAGCTCTAAACCAAGTGGACCTAATAGACATCTACAGAACTGTCCACCCCAAATCAACAGAATATACATTCTTCTTAGCACCACATTGCACTTATTCTAAAATTGACCACACAATTGGAAATAAAACACTCTTCAGCAAATGCAAGAGAATGGATATAATGAACAGTCTCTCAGACCACAGTACAATGAAATTAGAACTTCGGATTAAGAAACTCACTCAAAACTGCACAACTACATGGAAACTGAACAACCTGTTCCAGAATGACTACTGGATAAATTACAAAATTAAGGCAGAAATAAATAAGTTCTTTGACACCAACAAGAACAAAGACACAATGTACCAGAATCTCTGGGACACAGCTAAAGCAGTGTTTAGAGGGAAATGTACAGCACTAAATGCCCATAGGAAAAAGCAGAAAAGATCTAAAATCAATACCCTAACATCACAATTTAAAAAACTAGAGAAGCAAGAGCAAACAAATTCAAAAGTTAGCAGAAGACAAGAAATAACTAAGATCAGAGCAGAACTAATGGAGATAGAGACAGGAAGAACTCTTCAAATAATCAATGAATCCAGGAGCTGGCTTTTTGAAAAGATTAACAAAATAGACCATAAGCCAGACTAATAAAGAAGAAAAGAGAGAAGAATCAAATAGACACAATAAAAAACAATAATGAGGTATCACCACTGGTCCCACAGAAATACAAACTACCATCAGAGAATACTATAAACACCTGTATGCAAATAAACTAGAAAATCTAGAAGAAATGGATAAAATCCAGGACACATACACCCTCCCAAGACTAAACCAGGAAGAAGCCAAATCCCTGAATAGACCAATAACAAGTTCTGAAATTTCGGGAGTAATTAAAAGCCTATCAACCAAAAAAAGCCCAGGACCAGACAGATTCACAGCCGAATTCTACCAGAAATACAGAGGAGCTGGTATCATTTCTTCTGATACTATTCCAAACAACAGAAAAAGAGGGACTCCTCACTAACTCATTTTATGAAGCCAGCATCATCCTGATACCAAAATCTGGCAGAGACACAACCAAAAAAGACAGTCTCGGGCCAATACCCATGACGAACATCGATGCAAAAATCCTCAATAAAACACTGGCAAACCAAATCCAGTAGTACATCAAAAAGCTTCTCCACCATGATCAAGTCAGCTCCATCCCTGGGATGCAAGGCTGGTTCAACATATGCAAATCAATAAATGTAATCCCTCACATAAACAGAACCAATGACAAAAACGATATGATTATCTCAATAGATGCAGAGAAGGCCTTCGATAAAATTCAACACCCCTTCATGCCAAAAACTCTCAATAAACTAGGTATTGATGGAACGTATCTCAAAATAATAAGAGCTATTTATGACAAATCCACAGGCAATATCATACTGAATGGGCAAAAACAGGAAGCATTCTCTTTGAAAACGAGCACAAGACAAGGATGCCCTCTCTAACCACTCCTATTCAACATAGTATTGGAAGTTCTAGCCAGGGTAATCAGGCAAGAGAAAGAAACAAAGGGTATTCAAATAGGAAAGAGAAAGTCAAATTGTCTGTTTGCAGATGATATGATTGTATATTTTAAAAACCCCATAGTCTCAGCCCAAAATCTCCTTAAGCTGATAAGCAACTTTAGAAAAGTCTCAGGATACAGAATCAATGTGCAAAAATCACAAGCACTCTTATACATCAATAACAGACAAACAGAGACCAAATCACGAGTGAAATCCCATTCACAATTGCTACAAAGACAGTAAAGTAGCTAGGAATACAACTTAGAAGGGTTGTGAAGGACCTCTTCAAGGGGAACTACAAACCACTGCTCAAGGAAATAAGAGAGGACACAAACAAATGGAAAAACATTCCATGCTCACAGATAGGAAGAATCAATATCTTGAAAATGGTCATACTACCCAAAGTAATTTATAGATTCAATGCTACCCCATCAAGCTACCATTGACATTCTTCACAGAATTAGAAAAAACTACTTTAAATTTCATAAGAAACCAAAAAAGAGCCCATATAGCCAAGACAATCCTAAGCAAAAAGAACAAAGCTGGAGATATCATGCTACCTGACTTCAAACTATACTACAAGGCTACAGTAACCAAAACAACATGATACTGGTAGCAAAAACAGATATATAGACCAATGGAACAGAACAGAGGCCTCAGAAATAACACCACACATCTGCAACCATATGATTTTTGACAAACTTGACAAAAACAAGCAAAGGGGAAAGGATTCCCTATTTAATAAATGGTGTTGGGAAAACTGGTAGCTATATGCAGAAAACTGAAACTGGACCCCTTTCTTATACCTTATACAAAACTTAAGAGGGATTAAAGACCTAAACATAAAACCTAAAACCATAAAAACCCTATAAGAAAACCTAGGCAGTATCATACAGGACATAGGCATGGGCAAAGACTTCATGACTAAAACACCAAAAGCAATGGCAACAAAAGCCAAAATTGACAAATGGGATCTAATTAAACTAAAGAGCTTCTGCACAGCAAAAGAAACTATCATTAGCATTGAACAGACAACCTACAGAATGGGAGAAAATTTTGCAATCTACCCATCTGACAAAGGGCTAATATCCAGAATCTACGAGGAACTTAAACACATTTACAAGAAAAAGGCAAGCAACTCCATAAAGTTGGTGAAGAATATGAACAGTCACTCCTCAAAATACATTTATACAGCCAGCAAACATATGAAAAAAGCTCATCATCACTGGTCACTAGAGACATGTGAATCAAAACCATAATGAGACACTATCTCACGCCAGTTAGAATGGCAATCATTAAAAAGTCAGGAAAAATAGATGCTGGAGAGGATGTGGAGAAATAGGAATACTTTTACACTGTTGGTGGGAGTATAAATTAGTTCAATCATCGTGAAAGACAGTGTGGCGATTCCTCAAGGATCTAGAACCACAGATACCATTTGACCCAGCAATCCCATTACTGGGTATATAGCCAAAGGAACATAAGTCATTCTACTATAAAGTCGCATGCACATGTATGTTTATTGCAGCAATATTCACAATAGCAAAGACTTGGAACCAACCTAAATGCCCATCAGTGACAGACAATGTGGCACATATACACTATAAATAAATATACATCATAAAAGAAGATGAGTTCAGTCCTTTGCAGGGACATGGATGACGCTTGAAACCATCATTCAGCAAACTAACACAGGAACAGAAAATCAAACACTGCATGTTCTCACTTATAAGTGGGAGTTGACCAATGAGAACACATGGACACAGGGAGGAGAACATCACACACCAGGGCCTGTCAAGGGGTAGAGGGCTAGGGGAGGGATAGCATTAGGAGAAATACCTAATGTAGATGATGGATTGATGGGTGCAGAAAACCACGATGGCAAGTGTATACCTTTATAATAAACCTGCATGTGCTGCACATGTATGCCAGAACTTAAAGTTTAATAATAATTAATAAATAAAAAGACAGCTAACATTTATTGGGCACCTACTATGTACAAAAACTTTTGTTAGGAATAGTGGTAAAATATACAATGTTAAGTAAGTTAAGGTTCATCAAGGAGCTCCAATCTGGCGAGACTCTGTGCACTTACATCATCAATTTTCATTCCTTTTCCATCTACCTTTCTCTCACACACACTGTCCTTACATAATCAATTTTCATGCCCTCTCTATCTCTGTCTCTCATACCCACTCACATGCACATATCATATTGTTAAACGATTACATACCTGTTTGATTTCTTTAACAGCCAAAGTAACTGAGAACAAGACTGCCTCACTAATGCTGCTCTGACAGGGAACGTTACAGGCTGACTTAGTTCATTACATATATATTCCATCTCTTTCACCATGGTCCAGCTGTACCCTTAAAAAAAAATTTTTAACTTTATTGATTGAAATCTCGAAAGCCAATTAAAGACTAAATTACTTGTAATTAGGTAAAACCATAGATAAATGGTTTCATCGGTAAACTCATAGGTAATTAATTCATAATAATTTCCATTTGGATTCCAGTGAATTAAAATTCTGCTTAATGCGAAAAAAAACTAAATGGAAAATGTCGATAAAAAGTCATGCCAAAGTGACCTAGAGCAAATTTAATGAAAAATTAAGGCATTAAAAAGGTTTTACTAATCTCTCAGGCACAAGAAAAGAAATTTTACACCACTAGATCTTATTTACGTTAAAGGTTTTAAGATCCTTGTTTTAGGTACATCTGCATCATTATTTTTCTCTATAAACTTGGATTTCCTATTTTTGCTAAATTTTCTTTTCCAACAAAAAGTAGCTTTGGCGTATACACCAGCTGTTTAGGTGATAACATCAAATCAATTTTCTTTTTGGCTTGCCTAAATTACCTGTACATATTACTTAAAGTAGAAATAGTGGTAAAATGGACTATATGTATATGTACATATTTTATATATATTTAAATCATATTAAGATATTGCGGGCCAGGCATGGTGGTTTATGCCTGCAATCCCAGCCCTTTGGGAGGCCAAAGTGGGAAGATCGCTTGAGCCCAGGAGTTTGAAACCAGTCTAGGCAACATTGCGTGGACCTCTACAAAAAATTAAAAAATTAGCTGTCTGTGATGGTGTGTGCCTATGGTCCCAGCTACACTGGAGGCTGGGGTGGGAGGATCACTTGAGCCCAGGAGGTTAAAGCTACAGTGAGCCATGATGGTACCACTGCACTCAGCCTGGGTAACAGAGCTAGATCCTGTTTCTTTAAAAAAAAAAAAAAAAAAGGGGCCAGGTGTAGTGGCTTACACCTGTAATCTCAACACTTTGGAAGGCCGAGGTGGGCAGATCACTGGAGGTCAGGACCAGCCTGGCCAATATGGTAAAACCCCGTCTCTACTAAAACAATACAAAAATTAGCTGGGTGCGGTGGCACACACTTGTAATCCCAGCTATTCAAGAGGCTGATGCACGAGAATCGTTTGAACCTAGGAAGCTGGGAGGTGGAGGTTGCAGTGAGCTGAGATTGTGCCACTGCACTCCAGCCTGGCAAGAATCTGTCCCCCCCCGCCAAAAAAAAGACGTGGAAAACACACTTGCTTGTTATAAACACCTTCAAAAAAAGTATATATATATATACATACATATATATATATGTGTGTGTATATATATATGCATATGTACATAGTATATATATTTACAAATATAAATAAAATATATACATATATGTAATAAAGATAAGTATATATACTTTTTTTTTTTGAGACAGAGTCTCACTTTGTTGCCCAGGCTGGAGTACAGTGGCACAATCTTGGCTCACTGCAGCCTCCGCCTCCTGGGTTCAAGCAATTCTCCTGCCTCAGCCTCCTGGGTAGCTGGGACTACAGGCATGCACCATCATGCCTGGCTAACTTTTGTATTTTTAATAGAGATGGGGTTTTGCTATGTTGGCCAGGTCTTGAACTCCTGACCTCAGCTCATCTGCCCACCTTGGCCTCCCAAAGTGCTGGGATTACAGGCATGAGCCACCACATCCGGCCAGAATATTTATATTTGAAATAACTCTACACTGTATCAAAATCAAGTTGTAAAAACTATTGGTCAGTCAATAAAGGAACATTTTACAGAAATATTAAGTGAATATGTTAATTTAGTAGCTAATTTCCTGATAAAAAGAAGTGAAGTGATCCACTAGAAAATTATAATTTTAAAAATTAGAAAAGGAGATTGCTAACAGAAGCTTTATTTATATGACTATAAATGTATACACTCTCTTAAAATTTGCAGCGTCCCCAGTGAACACAGCATCTATCTGAAAGGGTAGACGGAAGAGTCTACACATACCTGCAGTCAGGCCTTCTTTTCCATTAGCCTTAGATTTTGTAGAATGTGTTTTGGGCTTTGTATTAAAGATGTTATTTTTATACTTGGAGGATACTTTAATTTGACCAACAAGAAATATGTTATTAGAATTATCACCTTCATTGACTTTCTCTGGATGCCATCCTGTTGTCCAACCCAGGGAAAATGTCACGTCTAGAAAGAAGGATGTCACAGTGTCTAAAAATGGTTTTGCATCTATTACTTTGCTATTTCCATTTGGACCAGGAAGAATATCAGCATTAATCCATACAGGACGCTTCAGACGCCGCTTCATATCTTCCAAGAGCATCATGGATGGTTCTACAGCTGCCAGACTAAAAACATAATTTGTTGTCAATGAGATAGATTCCTAAGGTAAAGTAAAAAGAAGTTCTTTTAGATTAGCGGTCTTAATGTTCTCAAATTCATAATAAAAATACAATAATATCTGGGTTAAATAAAATCAAAGATCACATAGCACTCAAGGGAAAAGCTAACATAGGCCATATCTCTCAATGTTGAATTGTACTTAGTATTCATGAATATACTATAAAGAGTCTATAAATATATAACTAATGATACTACTTGTGGACAAAATAGAGGTTTCAAAACTCCATATTAAGATCACTCAGTGTGAAAACAGTTTTTTAAGAGACACAAATATTCACTCATCACAGAATGTATAAATAAGATAAGTGAAATACACGTATAACCTGTAAATTCACATTTATGAAATACCCAAGTGGATCCAAGTGCTGTATTTCTAATTTAGGCTCATGACCCTAGAGAAAAAAGGTAGCTTCTTTCCTTTATGTATTCTTGGGTATGTTTGGATACATACATATAATTCTAAAAATGACTGCAAAATATAAAATTACAGTATTTCCTTAAACTTTTTGTAAGTTTTTCTTTTTTTATTGTAAGAACGTTTTCTGAAAACTAGAAACATGTATATTTTAGTTTAAATCAAAAAAGCAACTTCACTCTTTTACTCCCCTACATGTATTCTAGCTGATACCTACAGACTTTGAAAAATAAGGTTTTAATCAGCTTCCATAATTTTTACTTGCCTGTGTTCATTTAAGATTACTAGCCAAGCATGGTGGCTCAAGCCTGTAATCCCAGCACTTTGGGAGGCTGAGGTGGGTGGATCCCCTGAGGTCGGGAGTTTGAGACCAACCTAGCCAACATGGTGAAACCCCATCTCTACTAAAAATACAAAAATTAGCCAGGTGTGGTGGTGCATGCCTGTAATCCCAGGTACTTGGGAAGCTGAGGCAGCAGAATCGCTTGTACCCAGGAGGCAGAGGTTGCGGTTAGCTGAGATCATGCCTTTACACTCCAGCCTGGGCAACAAAAGCAAAACTCTGTCTCAAACGAAAAAGAAAAATAAAATTACCTTACAGTGAATATTGTAACAGGAGGCTAAGAATTCTGGAGATGGACATTGGAGGGGAGAACATTCAGTGATCCCTCCTCACATTTCTATCTCTCTGCCTAAGAGACTGCAGTACAGAATACAATTTGTGGGAGAGAGATCCAAGATGGCTGATCACTAGCAGCTCCGGATTACAGCTCCCACTGAAAGCGCAGAGAACGAGAGGACACCACACTTTCAGATCAATTTTTGTTGCTCACGCATCAGGAGATTTCCAGAGGAGGAGCCCCATGGGTCGCCAGCGCGACTCTTGAGGCCGGTAAGGTGGTTTTGCTGCTGCCTTGGTGCGGCGGTTCTCAGTGCAGAGTCAGAAAAGCACCATCAATCTTAAAGCCGCTGTTTTGGCTGGCACAATGGGTTGCTCAGATTTTAGCGCCAGGAATCAACAAGTTGGACGTCCATTCAGAAACCCAACTATAAAGACGGTAATTATAAAGACCACAGATGGATAAATTTATAAC